TTTATTTCCCAGCAACCCTTCACCCTCAATTTTTAATTCCAACGAATTGCTCTCCATCACGATAGAATAAAAATAATAAAATACATACAGATGCATCGGAATTATATTGCCAACAACACAACAACAGGTACAACGATATTGTATTATTTCATGTCCGTATGTTGGTACAATGAATACGCTTTTATATATTTAGTTTAGTCTTTCGTATTTCGTATTTCGTATTTCGTCTTTTTATTTATTATGAATGATACCACGATGGCGGTGGAGTTGAATAATAGGAAATTGTGTTCCGTAGCGGTTTTGTCTCGTGCCAAACGGCAATAACGCCAGTGGAGGCGGCGGAGGAGGTTGAGGAATGGAAATTCGCCGATTCGCGATTATTCTTTGCAGTTCTTTGTATTTTTCATCATTATATGCGTCGAATGGATTTTTTCGTAAATATAGCAACGGTTATACAATAGGATATTTTTAACCTTCATGTTCTTCAATCACTTTTTACTTGTTAAGCTTCTTATCCCAAAAACGTACTTACTGTTCCATTTGTATATAATACATACACTTTTATCAATAAGTCCAATTATGGTAAAATATACTATTCTACCTTATCCGTACCTTTCAAATTCTTCAGGTTATGTCTCCATTAGAGTCCATACCTTTGATCTGTACATATCCATTGACCCCAAAAATATGAGTTGATCTTTTTTTTCAGGATATATCTAGTTTTTTATTGAGTTTGCCGTCAGTAAAATCGTCTTTCTTGTTGCAAATACCAACATTTTCAACAAGTACCGGAAATATTTATAGGTTTTTAACCCAACTCACAAATATATGAAAGTACAAAAAGTTTTGAATAAAATTATCAAAATATAACATTTTTATTTACAAAAATTAGTTTTTTATGCGTGGGCAGTTTTGTCCTTTTTTCGCTGGGCGTCCGAAGTAATTTTTGTTGCAGAATAATCCGTGAATAATTCGAAATTGCCGAAGAAGACCTTATGGACCTTTATGTATGTAAGCACAAACATGTATACATATATATGTATGTATACATATATATAATAAAGTTCTTACTTGCGATTGTGTGTTGCATTAGCCTTATCTCACAGCGATCTGGGTAATAAAATGCATAAAATTACCTATTATAAAGAATTATACACACACACGTGTATATATATATATATGTATAAATATATATATATATATATATATATATATATATATATATATATAACCTAAATTTACAATCGCATCCCCATTTAGCTGCCGTGTTTTAATCTCATCAAGAAATACATATTATTAGGTCGGATTCTAATAATTATAAGAAACAAAATCACGTTGATTTTGTTGTTGTTGATTTGTTTGTTTATTTCATCGCTTTTTCGAAATCTTGAAAATATATATTAAAGAAAATCCGACAGCTTTTGATTGACAGGACCATACTTATGTCTTGGATTTCGCGTGATACCCTAAAATATAAATACATAGATACAAATATATATATATATATATATATATATATATATATTAATTTAAGGTTGTAGAGCATAGTTTTTTAAATACAGGGTGTCCTTATTCATTTACGAAAAGATTATTGTAATTTTCCGGTGAAACGACCGCCTCTTGCTCTATATGTATTTATAAACAAGATGCTATTTAAGGTGAAAAATGATTTTTTGAAAAAGGATTCCGTACTAAAATATGCACACAGGAATTTAATCCAGTATTTAGGGTAATAAATCACTTTGAAAAATATTGGCCGGCTCTACTATTTATAGTGAAACAGAATTTGTTAATTTTTAATTGTAATTTTTAATTCATTACTAACTTATATTGAAAATGACTCATAAAATGAGTAATAAAATTGTTGTACTATTCACAGCGGGCCAAACGAATTTTTTTATATTATTTTAACTTTTTTATATTTTTTATAACTTTTTAATAAAAAAAGCTGTAACAATACAATTGGATTATATAGAAACTGCCACCTAACATTTATTTTGCTCATTTTTTTCATTTAAATTTTTTTCAATAGCAACCGAGGCACTACATATAGAAAAGTTGCATATATATTGTAAAATTATAATTAATGGTATTATTAATTACGGCTTACTTGTGAATAAATCAATAAACAAATTTGACAAACGTTTTGAGCATCTCATCATCAGTGTACGCCAAGATATAGACCTGCAAAAAGTGCTTTAATTTTTAAAAAATGTATTTTTAAAGGCCGCTTTTTTAGAACATGCACCGTATCCTGATAAACTATAAATAGTACAGCATCAACCTTGCGGTTATTAGGCCCATTACTAAGGCCCATCGTGATATATAATAAAATGTCGAAAATGATACAGCACATACTTTTAATTTCATTCATTATAGATAGTACAGCTGTCCAAAGAGTAGGTAACTTCATATTCTTACTTAATGAGATATCCAAATTAATAAAATTAGATACAACACCGTTGTTGAACTATATATAGAAAAGCTGGCCAATGGGTTACATTAAATTACCAATTCAAAAATTTCTTAATTCACAATAAGCCTAAAAAACGTGCCAAACTATAAATAGTACAGCTGGCCGACAAATGACTCCGCATTATTAACCCGCCGGGCGATGCGTTTAATCTGCAAATCTTTTCATGTAACATTTACACCTTGTAACTACATACATATATACATACTACATACATATATACATACATACATACATCCATACATACATGCATACATGCATGCATATATGTATATACATATTACCTTTTGCGCACGCACGAACCAACCACGCCTTCGGCCGCGTTCGCGAAGACCCAACCCTCCAATATGGCAAAGAGGGAGACGGGGATATTGGCCAGCGCACTCTTTCGCTCATGCGTACAAGATAGACAGAGATGGGGACAATGTTATATGGTGTAAAGCGAGAGAGAGAGATATGGATTGGGACTATGACGATGTCGATCACGATCACGATCACGGTTCGGTTATTCGAAATTATAGGCCTTTTGCATATTTGGTGACCCACATATATGGACAGGATGATTTCAGGATGAAACCTCAGGAATAATATAATTTTGAATATAATGTAGGGGGAAGTCCCGTAACGCCGGACGGCACCAAGGACCGGACACTCTATTTAACACGTATTATTTAAGCGAGTATAAATCTTTTCATTTCAAAATACAAGTGAAAGGGGCGCAGGGGGCACACAGGTGCAGGATCACGCGCCAAGACTCCTGTGACGCACACGGTCACGGCGGGAGCAACCCTTTTCTGTTTTAGGCGCAAAATCACAGCGCCACCTAAATATCAATGGAAGTAATTCTAGCATATTTATGCATTTACATTTGAGTGATATGCAAAGATAAAAGTTGTACTTGATTGTTATCCGTAAAATGGTAAAATATCATTAGATCTTTTAACGAATTTTAGTAGGTGCCATCAAATGAACGAAAATGTCGTTCTGAAAACGAAAAATGGTGACTTTTTTTGCAATATCTAAGAATATTTGACAAAGACACATATGCAGACATTCCAGAGTTGTAGAGATGGCTACTTATGTGATCAATGCAGGCTAGGTGCCACTGTTTAAAATCATATTTTTTGATAGCAAAGTTTGATTGATAGTATTAATTGTTTTTTAGTAAAGATTGCGGTTTTGTTAATTTAGTTTGATTTCTAACTTTGTTATCTACCATAAGTTATAATTTAATAAACATTTCGTAAAATATTTTTTGATTTATTTATAAATAACCTTAGGTGTACGCCACTTGGGGACTTCCCCTTAACGAATAAACTTGTCGGCCAGCTATACTGCTTATCTTTCGGCACGTTTAAAACGTTTATATTGGCCAGTTGCACTAATTTCTAGTATATGAGCTATCTTTGTTTTAGACTTTTTATCACTTTTCATCAGTTACTAATATTGGCCCACTGTGCTTATTTATTATTGATTAAGATGAATAACTCATTGGCCAGCTGTACTATTTATAGTTTATTAGACATTTATTAGCCTTAATTGAAATAATCATATGATGCAACTCATTGGCAAGCCGTACAAGTAAGCTGTAATTAATAAATAATACCATTAATTATAATTTTACAATATATATTTATTTATACTTGACGCGTAGAAAAATCCTGAAGGTGCACAAAGTCAAACAACCGAAATATATGATTTACCTACATAAATTGATCAAAATTAAACTTTTTTCATTTTAATGTTAATATCTAATTATTTACTATCAACGAGTCAACAAATATCAAAATGACGATAACTGACCTGAAGATAACTAAAATCAAACAAACGAAACGTTAACTAAAAAAATTCAATTCCTTAAAGCTAAAAATATCGAACCATCCTCTTCGCCTGATTCTCAAACTTCAATAAAACTTTATAAGAACTCTACTTCAAGACCCTCCCAATAGCCCCACACCTGCCCCACCACTGACCGAGTCACTCGCACCAATCACGACGCTCACAGAAGCCCCAACGACCAATCGCGACCCTCGTTTGCCCTTTTTCTCCTTCCAACGCGTTTTCCTTCCCACTTTCAAGAAATTCGAAAAGGGAACACTTTAGTCTCGAAAACGCCGTCAGAGCGCGCGCATGTTATAATATATAGTGTCAACAAATAAAAAAAATAGTTGCTAAAGTGGAAAAAATATATAAATAAATAATTAATAAAGTGATGAGTAATTTAATAAAAATAATAAACTACAATTAAAGAAATGTGTGGACAAAATAATGCACAAAAGTAAAAAAACTTTGTCCAAAAATTAAAATTTTCCTAAAACACATCACTGAAGTTCAAACAACTCATTTAGTGCTTTTACAGTTAAAAATCTATAATCACTGACTATCACTGCTGCCTGATGCAAAAATGTAACAACCCTAAATTTTTACCATCCAGTGTTCAAGTGTGAATCTACAAAATAATGATAAAAACAATTTAATCCCTCTTGTGTTTTTTACTAGTTTTTTTTTGTTTACGAACTTTTCTACCATGTTGACAGACATTTCGCCGACGCATGCCATATACGGTACTCAAATGATACCGGGAATGAATGGCATAAACGGTATCAACGGTATCAATGGCATAAACGGTATTAATTCATTCAATATGAACATGAATGTCAATATACCGACGCCGAGGAATAGTGTGGTGAGTGATAGGATAATATTGGTAATATTATTATTATACACTAACGAGGAGAAGAGAACACTTTAAAATATTATAGGCTTATGAGAAGTGGTTTAATTATAGAGATGATTTGAAATTGTACAGTGTTTCATATTGTTTCTACCTTTTGCGTTCGTATTCACAAATGAGAGCGTTAAAAATGATTTAAGCGTACTTTTAATGCTAAAAGTAACTAATAATAAAAATGAGTTGTGTTTTACACTTTTCCTAAGATAATATACGTAGCTAGAATAATTATTTTTAAAAACTATTAAAATAAAAGAGCAAGCTTATTTGAGAGTGTGAATATATATTTAGGCACTATTTTACGTGTTTAAGTCTAACAGAAGAGGGATGTTAGAAACTACGTTTATTAACAAAAAATTAGTTTAATAAGATACGATTTCGCAAAACGTCTACTAGAACCAACGCATTTTACTTTATATAAAATGATAGGACAATTTTTATTAAAAGTTTTGATTAGTTTTGGATACACCCATTTTTTAAAAAAAAATCTCTAATGCCGTGCGTTTCGACATAAATATATAACGTTCTCAGTAATATTTTAATGAAGAGTGTACATACATTTATTTGTGCATACATAACTATTACTAAATTTGTGTATGTTACAAATAAATTTATTTACGCTTTTTATAAAATTTTCTTTGAGAATGATTTAAAATTGCATGTCGAAACGTCTGAGGATTAAATGTATTATTAAACTAGATTACCCGACAGACGTTGTACTTGTACTTATGTTTACAATTCAAAAGTTCCATTTTTTTAATAACACTACAGTCTATTTTGAAAAAAATGAAATAACACCACTGAGAGGAATGTCATCCCCACGGGGAAATAGCAAATAAGTCTGAATTATTTTCATTTTTGAACTTGAGAGTAAGATAAACCTAATTTGCCTTGCCTTGTGTAAATATTCCGTATCCGATAGCAACAATATGAAAATACTAACGTTTGTATGTGAAAAAGAAAAGGGCTGTTTTAGGGTTTTCCGGCAATTATTCGATTTTTTCTCGCCGTAAAAACCATCCTTGGACTTTAACGAACATTTTAAAAAAAGAATTGGCCAAATTGGTCCAGGCGTTGTTGAGTTATGCGCTTACCAACAAATTTTGCATTCATTTTTATATATAAGATTTAAAAAGCTATGTGTTGCAAAGTTTTAATTCGCAGTGAAATGTGCTACTAATCCTTACATTGACAAAACTGACCCTAGCCTATCTTCGCACTTAACATATTTCTACATCCTTATCTTATTTTTTCACACAAATTGTTATGTTACAATAAAAAAAAACTATTCGCACCATTATCAAGTAAAACGAGCAAATGGTACTCTGTCGGTTGTGGTAAAATCCTCTCATACCACATGCTGTTCTTTGAGTGTTTTGTACCGCCCGCTGGTACCAAAATAAATACATTTTTATACACACACACAAATATTGTTTTCAAAATTGTGTTTGTATAATGTTTAATGTATGTATTAATGGTGGTGCCGTCGCCACATGACGTCCGAATCAAAAAGCGCAAACAAATCGTTTCGGCTACCGTAAAAACGGAATTAATAAACACTTTTATGAATGTATGAAAAAATTCATCACTGGGGATGACATGATATTGTGTATCGAAACGTCTGGTGATATAGATTTTCAAAAAATTTGGTTTTAGTAATTTTGAGTAATTTTTATTAGTGCTAATTGTACGGATTTAATTAATAAGATGAGATATGTTTTTTTTACTTTTTCACCCGCAGTTTTGAAAAAAGCTGCATTAGATACGTATAATATTTGACAAATTTGTAGCTAGATATAAATCTTTCTTTTAAGTCTGTGATTTTTTACTATAAAATTAGTTTCTGCACCAAAAGAACATAAAAAGTTATACGCAAGCAATTGTGTATCATTCGTAAAGTGTGAGACAACAAGAAAAAAAATTAGATGATTATGGTGCTGGTTGTGGTAAATCTGCAGGTACCAAATAAATATAAAAACTTACATAGAGTATTTTTTTCTAAAATAATTATTGCAAATGCTTATTGCAAATTATTGAAATTATATTAGTAAAATATATTTTTATATACAAATTTACACGATTTAACCGACGGACTTGCAACATACGAAGATTTTAACATCCGGATTTATATTTAATATTACAAAATTTATTTCTATTTTGTACTGTATATTTTACCCTTAATATTTCATGCAAAACATATACAAGTAAACTTGACTCTATAAAAACATAATACTAATAATAATATGACTAAAACCATTAAAAGACACAATACAAACGTTGTTAATTTATCTAGCTACAAATTTGTCAAATATTTTTACTTAGTTTAGCTTGAGCTACAGTTAAAAATGAAAAATATGCACCAGATTTCATTAAATCCTTCTACACATACTTAGTAATAAGTACATTTTTATAAGTATACTTTTATAAACTTTTACACAATTTCATTGAAAGATAAGTATAAAATATTTCTTGTAAAATTATCTAGCTACATATATAGTAATTGCCAAATATAGTAATTGTAGCAAAGATAGTAATTACCTTTTCTAGCTTTTTGTAGCTATTTTAAGAAATTTAAAAAACTATTACTTTATGTTATTGCGAATTGTACGATTTTAAAAATTATTTCTAAGTACAAATACTTATTATACAACTTTGTAGTATGTGAAAGATTTATTGTCACAAGATGAAAAAATAATAAATTATTTTAAAGCTAAGACCAAATATGTTAAAATTTAGTTTAGCAATAATACTTTAAATGCAATCATGAATTCTGAATACAAATCTTTATTATGTATGTCGACCAGAGCGCAAAATCTATTATTTATTTATTATAAAAGGTATAATTCAATGAAATTTCCGCTTCAAATGCAAAAATCTGCATTTGTTTCCTTTATGCCAAAATTTGCACAAAAACTTGTTCTAAATGGTTCTATTTTGTTGTCATCGTCGAAAAATCCAGTGGTAATCCCTTGTAAAGCCCTCGAGGGCACAATGGGGCTCGAAGACTTAAATACTTAATCCGATGCGCTTTTGGGATCAGAATTTAAGCCCCCTTGAAGGGAAATATTATTTATACATTTATATTTACATTTACAAGCACAAGGATCACCACTTTTGTAATTGAAATAAATAGTTGGATTACAACTCTTGGATAAAATAGTTATCTTATGATTGAGCAGTCGCGAAACTGTCAATTACTAGAACCTAACCTCCAAATGGACCGAATGTCAAAATATAACATTAGTTATATTATTATATGGTTATACACATTATATTATTACAATATTCAATATAGTCTTTGAAGTTGACAAGAACTACAGTAAATAGTCTTAAAGTATAGAAATAACAAAATTTTGACGATTTTGACTCACATAATATATTTAATTTTATATTTTTCCCTTACACGTGTTTCATCTAAAATGTCCTCACAAATAAATTTAAATAGCAAACGAGTGCCGAACGAAACGAGTGAGTCCTTTTTGACACTTTTTTTTCAAAAGGATCCTTTTTGACACAATTAGTTCCGTCGGCGTCTTTTTTGAAATTTCAGAAATTCGCAAGAAGAAACCTTCTAGAGAAAAAAAAGGTCCCTTTTGGCAAGTGCTACAAAAAGGACATACAGGAACATAAAAGACTTTTGTGTAAACGATTACAATTGTTACATGTAATTTTGAAAATTTGTCACACGGGAGGAAATCGAGAATGATGAAAAAAATTTTAATCAATTTTTATTAATACAAATACTATTGATTTGTATGAAAAACTTATAGAACACATATATAACTACGGAATACTTTTTTATTCTAGCTATTGCAAAAGCTAGTTTAGAAGCTACAGCTAAAATAGTAAAAAAAATGCGCTATGTTGTATTAATTCCTTTTTTTATCAACTTTAGGCGTAACCTTAATAATTTTTTTTATAAATACAAATATTCATTATATGAATTTGCACCATATGAAAGATTTATAGATAATTTATTTAGCTACAACTTTATTAAATAACACAATTATCAATTATAGTTTTTTATGAGTTACAGGTAAATTAATAAAAAAAACTACTACTTCTACTTCTTATCTTCATGCGTACTGTTTGATTTTATTAAACTTTTAAAAATATAAAATATTTATAGCACAAGTTTGTGTTATATGTATAAATTGTTGCAAATTTATCTAGTTACAAATTTGTCAAATATTATGGCTATCTATTTTAGTTATTTTTAGAGTTTAAGCTAAAAATGTGGAAGAACGCGTTAAATTTTATGAATTTCTTCTCGATCCACTTTAGGCTAAAGTTAAAAATATAAATATAGTATAAAAAATGTTATTTTGCTGTTTTTTTGGAAAAATAGTAACATTTTACTCTATAATCTAAATGTAGTACCAAATCATTCAGGACGTCTTCTTAAAATAATCTTACAACCTTCGAAAATAAAAATAAAATTTATTTCAGTTTTTGGATCGCGCCAAAAGATTCAAAACGACATGTAACTATGATCAAATACATTTTTTTTGTTTCGGGCTTTTGAGAATACAAAACTTCAATTCTCAATCCAGAGCACAATTTTTTTTTTACCTACTCCAGTTAGCCACAAAAAAGGTGACCCCCGTGACAAATACGATTTGTAAAGATCACCAGAAAAAAACCCGAAAAAAATATGTTTTTCAAAAGACGAAAAAAAACTTTTGACTTTTAAGAAGCCGTCACTAATTTAATTCGATGTATATAGTTTTATACAAATGCATACATACACACATGAGGGCATTTGGGACCCTGAATTTGGATTCATTAATCATTATCAGGTTCAGGAAATAGGATAAAAAATTCCGTTAGGATTAACGTTTATTTAAATAAACTTTATGTTTTTAACGCATATAATTAATATTTTCTTGTTATTCGATAATCGATATTAAAATAATCGATGACGTCATTATTAAACATGTTTACACATCCTGGAT